ATACAGTAAATAAACATATTTAGGCACACTACATTGATTTCAACTTTTGATATAAAACAATAATACAGGGTAAAAATTTAAAAATCTAAAACTTATATGAGTACCATTTAGTAAATAAATTAAATGGTTCCATTTGTATGACAATGTATTATAACATAATATCAGTGTTGGTAATGGTTACAAACTCCATGCATTACTGGTGTGACTTTATCGTTTTAAAATGCTTATTTCTCAAAAACTGCTTGAGATACGACAAATGGTTAAATTTAGGTACACTATGTTAGTTCCAACTTTTAAACAACAAAAAACAATAATACAACATAAAAATCAAATACTATTTTAACATTATTTTAAATGAGTACAAATAAATCAAACACTTATCATGAAAATGTTATAAGTCTATACTTAATTCCATTATTTTAAAAGTCCATTATTAAATATTCTAAATTTGTGATTTAATCACCAGACATCCCTATAACTCAAAAGAATTATATTATTTTATATGAGTACAAATAAATCAAACCATTTTCATTTGTATGCCAATGCATTGTAATATAATAATAGCATTAGTAAATAAAGGTCTGATTTATTGTTTAAAAATACTTATATCTAAAAAAAAGGCTTGATATACAACAAAACAGCTAAAATTCCAGCAACCAAAATAGCCTTCAACATAATAATACAGCATAAAAAGTTAAACAATTTAAAACCATTTACCAGTTTCTTTTGTATGTAAATGTGTTATAATATAATTTCAACAATAGCAATAGTTTCAAACTCTAGGTATTACCAGCACGGCACTGTCGGGGGCATGACGATGTTCAAAGTGATGCGCCTCCTATCACTTACATGTTTGTCTAGCTTCTAAAAAAAATATTTATAGCATAAAATTTATATATTAAAATTCTACATAAACTACTGTTTAATAAAATATAAATATAATTTAATTTATGCCACTGTATAATTATTAATTAAGGAAAATATAAAAAGGTTACTCAAAGCAAACATGAAAAAGTAAGTAAGCGAGGATTTTTTTTATTTTTCGGTCAGAGAAAAACTTTCAGTGGAAGAAGTATAGATGATTAGATGTTCCTCAATTTTTGTTTCTAACATTTTTTCATAAGACTTTTAGTTTGTCATCGCTGGGGATCAGAAGTAACCTATGGGTCGGGAGCGCGTCCGAGTTCACGTGCCGAGAGCTGGGTTTTAAAAAAAGTGGTCAAAAAAAGCTCTTCATTTCCAGGCTTGTTTTTTCAGTATTAATAACATTTTTTAACCAAAAAATGCCCCCATATAGCCTCTAAAACGCCAAAAATGGGGTAAAATCATCATATTATAGCTATTTGGGGTGTTTTTTCGCCAAAAAATTTCAAAAGTCCTAGGTCCAAAAACGCCGAAAGTGGGGTCATATTCTGGTATTATATCTACTCATCTTCCAAATCAAAATTGTAAACTTTTTTTGTTTTTTGAATTAAATAAACGTCACTATTTATTTAGCAACATAAATGTTTTAGTACGCAACACAACAACATAAATCGTTTATTAGCAACGTAAGATTGTGTAGGCCTAATCAATCCCTTTTTAGTTAACAATATTCATACATGTGTAAAGAAAGGAAAAGGTCTTACTATGGATTGAGTACTAACATAGACTAATTGTTTAATCTATGATACTAATTATTTTATTATCCATACCATTCTTACACTAAATAATAAAATAAGGGGAAACTGTATACAACTTATGAGTAATCCAATTGAATCAGGTAAAACGTTTAATTCTCCAAAGACTACTACTACCCACAGCTATGAATAAAACTAGATATTCCACTCTCATGTTAAATCCCATTTTAGAATAAAAAGTGTGATTGTCAAAGTAAAGCTCCGTCAGAATGCGCCAAAGTCTATCACAGTACATAATAGATGTGTACTGAATTTGTGTTAACACTTTTTATACACTTACAAACCACTATTACACAACAAGAAGAAAATACACAAATATTAATACGCCCTATTTTTCACGTAAAAAAAAAACTTGGTAGATAACTGCGATGCACGTATATATTTATTCTATTTTAAAGCAATATCATGATATAGATAATAATTTTAATTTTTTATATGCAATTTATCGTAACTATTGTTGACATGGAATGATATCAATTCTGCTAAACGACCCTCATAGCAAGAAGAGAGTGGTCGTTTATGATACTGAGCGACCACAAGAATCTGCCAGTTTATCGTAAACTACGAGAACAAAGCTTATAATATCCTTGGAAGCTTTTCAATAGCATACCATCGTACAATGAAAGGAAAGTGGGGTTCCTCGCAATGAGTTAGGGCTGTTTTGGCTCAAATAATGAGTTTCATCGAGTTTTTAATATAATCTCTCTTAAAATTATATAGACTATAGAAACACTATATTTAAACAAAGCATTCAAATATTGTGTTATTCTAACTCATCATTCTTAAAAGCCTCATTAACATTAACATCGTGTGTAGTTTTATTTACTAGTTAATAGTTAGTATTCATTTAAAGAAGAATGTATGTTTACAATTTTCTGTAGTGCATCCTAGATCCTATCAAAACAACTATTGACATTGAACAGTGCGAGTAGACTTTTTGTCTCATTGTAAAGTATGAAGCCTGATTTATGGTTTGATTTTAGTAATGTTTAAGTGCGCAGTATCCATCTTAGTTTTCATTTCTTATTTTAGGGTGGATTTTGATTTTTCTCAAGTCTTTGGTTGCAATACCAAAAAACAACCAACAGTTTACAACAAATTAATTTAAAAGAAACATATACTAACCAAACACCCTTTACATAAACCGGAAATAAAGATTCCTTCAGCTGATCTATAAGAATAATAAATCTACAAGAATGAATTGTTTTTACTAATCCACATTTAAAAACAAATCAATTAAGAGTCATGTTAAAACTGAAAGGCTCTGTGTCTGTTTCAACGGAGATAAATCCAACAATGGACATTCGATGACAATGTGATTCAATCAATTGTGTTCAGTTCCATTTTCAACGTTTCTTTGTCTCGTTTTCATCAATCAGTGAGAATTAAGTACTTAAATATTTTCTGCCACGACAGTAATTAATAGTATTTGGATTCAGTAATTTTAAAGGACGTGGAAGAAGGGTTTTGTACGAAATACAAAAATATTTATTTGTTATATTTGTTTTAAATATAATATTTATCATTATAATACTTGACCTATTGATCCAATTCTATTGGATTGGTAAACTATTAACAAGATCTAAGGATTTGAATGCACAAAGTAGAAGCATCATAAAATGTAAGGATGGGAAATAGTACACACGTAAATAGGTAATTGGATACTCGTAACCTCTAGAGATGTTATGTATTTGTTTATAACCACTCATTGCCAAATACAATACGTTACTAGTCCTGAAAATATGTGTTTACCGGACGAGTGTAGTCGTTCCCGTGTAAGACGAAGTTGAGTGTTTGTTTATAACCACTCATTGCCAAATATAATATAATCAGCTGGTTGGTGTCCAGTAAAAACTCATTCCAGTATATTATAGTAGTACGTACTGAAACCCCATTTGATTAATCTGGCGGCAAACAGCTGTTTTCTGGACTATATCCTTGCGTGGGAAGTTCGTTGAAACAGTTTAAGGTTGCGTAAAACCCCTTGACGTTATTGTCTGGTTAAACATATATGTAAATATAAGCAGGGACATGTTTGTCTATGTTTTCACCATCAACGTATACTTAAGTCTACAAACAACCGGAAAACTAAATAAAGTCATTCGAAAACTCTCATTTTGAACAGAAATTTCTTAAATGATTTTCGTCTCAGACCCTCACACAAATTGAAGTTGCGTTCTGTCTGTATCTCAAAATTGCCCCGTTTTACGTTGTATTTCTGCTCACTAAGCTGGGTTTTACTACAGACCTGGATGGGATTCGAATACTTTACTGCCATCTATAAAGTCTGTACGGGGGGGGGGGGGGTTTACAGGAGTATAAATTTTGATAAGAGGCACGCCGTCTCGGCACTTACGGGAACGTGGGGATTTCCAGAACCTGCTCAACCTGAAAATACAATCGAAGGGAAAGCTCCTCTTGAGATCCCCGGACAAGACGTGGGGATTTTATTATTTTATGGTGTCGCACAGAGGAAATTTCTAAACACCGTAGTATTTTATAGCAGTTTTTCATTCTGTTGAGTGTTGTAATCTATATGGAAAATTCAATTGGTTTCTTACTTGCGTATGATTATTGAATTGTTAGTAATTTATACGTTGTATAATATAAGAATTCAAAACGAAATAAGAAGAAATAAGAATTTCAAATGAATCTCAAATTATGTCTGTATCTCTGTGGTTCTAACGGTGACGCTTCTGGATGATAAACACTGCCTTCCAGGAAAACTAGAAAAACTAGCGAAAAATATCCACATTACACATTTTCCCCGGTATTTATTCCTTAGAGAATGTCTTTTGCTATTAAGTCCTAGCCAAAAGTATTTGTTAATAAGTCAACGTAAGTTCAAAACTTGGTATTGTACGATATTGATGGAATTTTTAAGTGAATTTTCATACTTAACGTATCAAAGCTGTTGGGAGACAGATTCTTTATGCTACCTGCCACTCAACTCTTAACGTTTTCATTCACAACTGCGGCAAAAATCAACAAAAACCCCTACTTAGTAATCGTAGGTTGGATATTTTTGGTAAAATAATCGCACTACATTTAAGTGTTTCAATTTAATTTGGTACAAAGATATACAGGCCTTTTTTAATCATAAGTTTTGCCCCGCAGCAAAGCACGGATAAAGCTGCTAGTTTTAAAATTCAATACACAAGAAAAGTGATGACTAAAAGTAGTTCGCGCAATGAACGCTAGGGCGGACCCGGCTACCACTCATCAGTACTCACTCTTTGCCACTTGAACCGCTGTTTCACTTGTTCAAAGATTAACACATCATGACTTACATTTATTATAGTACATAATCAATGCTCTCACCCGCTACACTCAAGGTGGCGTTTCTGCTCCTCACTGTGCCCGAGGGGTTGCTAGCCTCGCACCAGTACACTCCGCCGTCAGACTCCCGTTTGCCTTGCAGCACCCTCAAGAAGAGTAGACCTCCAGCGGGTAACACGGTGCGGTGGCGAGCCTCCGACCCCAGGGGACGACCATCCTTGTACCACGTGATCGAAGGGGGCGGATCCCCCTCTGCGTGACATTCCAGAGTGACGGGGTCGTTCCTGGGGACCACTCGGTCCGAAGGGTGCTCTGTGATGCGGAGACTGCGGACCAGGGCGCCTGGAACAGAGAAAGTAGTATACATCATAACGGTATTACAGCAAACTTATACATAATTTCTTCCATTATCTTGACAATAAAATTAAACATACTACTACTTTCATAATAAAAACAATTCAATTGGGAGAACGGAGGGAGAAATTCTGGAGCTTTATGGAGACAATCGCAATAACGTATAAACCGTAATCTTTACAGCGTTAGTGTGGCACCATTTTCAAGGTTAAGAGGATTTAACATAAAATTTTCAGGTATAATTGTTTGAGCTTGGTCTTTGTAATTGTTACGGGTTTTATGGGGGAAATCACCATTAAAAATCAAAATTTAACAAAAATAAAAAAATCCAGGAGATTCAATGGATTACCTATATTCCAAATTCCATAAAAACCCGATCGCAGGTATCACAAATCTACACACACACACACACACACACACACACACACACACAAATAACTAGTACCTATTCGTAAAGTTCCAAATTATTTTGTTTAATTTGTGGATATAAAGTCCATTTAATCATGGTATGGATTCTAGTGAAGCTAAAATAAAGGTTCTCTACTGTTTTCTGAATAGGGCGATCCATAAACTGAAATGGGCTCTCTAACCATCAAATCACATAGTATAGTGTTTTTGATCGGCGTTATTTGAACCCGTGTCTCCGAGAATGAAGTCTCACAATCTAAGCACTACACTAGCCGTGCTCAAAAATGTTCATAATATCTTTGGGGTTATTTTCCAAAGAATTACACACACAATATTTCAAGTTATGGTCGAGAATTTAATAAAGCAGACAAATTGTGCTCTTTATTACTGTATTGTTGTCAAGAAAACGTGGCGCCACTGGATATTACTGACATTGATTCTGTTTTGAAATGTAACACTTTTGACGCAAAAAGTGTATTTTGAGCCTTAAGAGTTTTATATTAAAAAAATTATCTCAATTACTTCAAATTACAAAAGGTTAAAAGTTGAAACGTAATACAATTTCAAAGATAATTAATACAGATGGGGTTTTACGGTGTAATGGATAAGAGTATATGTAGTGTTATCGCAAGTTAAATTAAAACATCATAATATGTTTTCAAACACATATGAATAACAACACAGTATAGACTTTTTTACATGGAGTTCCTGGTTCAAATCTCACCAATCACCAAAGAAAATTGGTTTTGCATTATTGACATGATCGGGTAATTCTAAAACACATTAAACAGTTGTTTCGACCATCTTGAAATTAAAATAATTATCATGGAAATTATTGGCTACTTTAGTTGTTCGAGCATCTTGTTTTGGAAGTTATGGGTTAAAATTCAGCTAATTACGTCTTGCCTTATTTCTTTTGAGTATTTGATAAATCTGGTAGTTGTAATGCGACCTCAACTGTTAGGACTATAGCTCCAACAGATTTGTTTTCTGTATTGGACAACTTAAGCTGCTAAAAGCCATGCGAAATGAATGAATAGTCAATTTATATATGCATATGTATGCATACAATATTAATAACTCATCATTCCACAACCAACAAGACAAATTTAAAAACTATGCAAGAGTTTAATTTCCAAATTACACAAGAAAAAACATTAAATGTAAATTGAATTATTTAACTAAGTTACATCATAGATAAAACACTATGTTTTTATCTATGGTTACATTAAGCCTTTGTTCTTGCAGGATGAAGTTATATTTCTCCAATATATTTCGCCACAGTGTGTGGCATCTTCAGGGAAACGAGAAGTTCTATTTACACATTATATATAGTTTATACATATCGTTATATACACATATCACGAATTGGTACGTTAACGTCGCGGCGACTTTGCGAACGCGAACGCGGGCGCGACAGAGGCTTAAGGTAATTTAATTCAATAATTAAATATTATAGTTGGGAAAATACATAAAATCACCATTGAATGTAAACATTTCCACACAAAGTACAACACTAATCTAGAAAACTAAAAATAATGAATTTCTTAGGCGAGTAAAACTTCTTCTGTATTAGAGATCCATGTCACTAAAAAGCCGTTCGGTCATTGTTAATAAATAATACACATTTAAAATACACCATTGCTACAAATGTCAAAAGTACATTCTAGAAACACGAGATTTACTTCTGTGTTGAGTATTTCAACTCTACAAAGCTTTTTAGAGGACTGAATTTGCTGAGGAAAGCAGTTGCATCGTCCTGATAGAAAAAACACTTTTAAACACTCGACAGACATCTGGCTTGTAAATACTTAAGCGCTACTTTCCTCGACGACACTGCATCTCCGATGTGTGTTTTAAAAGTTTTTTTTTTTTTAGAATTCAGTTGATAGTTACGTCAATTCCCCACTTAGTAGCTGTTTAACTACAATGAATCAGTCAGTAGTGACGACTGTTCCACAATAATGGCGTTTATGACAAAAAATACCTCCGCAAAAAACCTGAAGGATAAACAACTCCAATTTGCCTAATTGAAATTTTTACTAACGATTTATGCTTAATAGTTTCATAACTATTTCCTTTTCAAATGACAGTAGAGATGAGCACTTAGTGCTAGGAAGGTAATAAAGAGGGGGTTTTTTATGGCCTAGTTAGAAATTAAAAACATTGCCAAATTCCATTAAAATATATCCACAAACTAGCAAAATACAACGGTTTACTCTTCTCCACAACAACACAACGATGTTAAAATGGTTTTTTTTAGTCTTCTCCGTAGCTATTAGGTATAAAAAACGCTTTAATATACAGCATTATTTGTGTTTTGAGCTCTACAATAGGGTTTACTTATCAGGATTTATTTGTAAAAAAAGTAAAACACAATACACGTACCCTCATTGAAAGTAGCTTAACTACTTAAACCCAACCCTAACTTATACAGTTGAAACATTTACACATGCAATACAACAATAGGGGTTGAATGCACAGTGTAACTGTAATCACAATAACATGTTAATTCACACGAACAGACGAAATTAACATGTAAATGTGCGGGTAGATCTGGTACTGCTAATGTGGTCTCCCCCATGTGTATCTTGCGATTCATTTTACATTACATAGTACACAAAAGGGGAGGATTTGCACATTTGGTTAACCGGGCAATATATCATAGCTTAATATGATTCCCTACTTGTTTGCCTTCATATATTGTTTGAGGTAGCAATTTTGAAACAATATACATTTTCTATATGTATTGACAAACCAAAATCTAGGTATCCAAAAATTAAATGTTTGAGATAACAAATCTTTTTAACGTTAAAAAAATCCATTTGCAGAACGTTTTAACTAAGAGTACACCTGGGGTGTTTTCAACTACAGTATTTTTAAGCTGAGTAGCTGACCCTTATAACCTATAAGTCGTCGGTTCGATCGCAGGTTCGATATCAGTTGTCAGTTAATTTTTTTGTTGATAGTTTGAAATTCCAGCTGTCTCTTGATCATAAATAAATGGTTCTTACTAATAAACCGCTAAGTTTAGTAACAAAGCTACACAGCTATGCATTATTATTTTGCTCATGTGCATTTAAAAGACCTATGGACCTCGCCTCATTAATAGCGTTAATAGTTTCTTACTAGCTGTGTACCCGTTCTACGCACGGGGATCTTATAATATTCAGTTGAAACCTTCTTATATAAAGAACAGCAGTTGGTTTGCATATTTTAAGATATGCTGGCCAAACTATTATACATAGCTTCATTTTATGTTGTTTTTTGTTGTTCCGGATCGGTATGACAATCAATAAAAGGTTAAATTACCTCTGTGTCTGCCGGTCGATCCTATAACGGTAGGCTTACTTTTATTTTTACTATCTGATCTCGTTTGCATGGCTCAATCACGTCCTGGTTGAAGTTCGTTCGCTACGCTCACTCACCTGTATGTTGGAGCTCGTTTGCTGCGCTCACTTTCCTTCAGGTTAGCTCGTTCGCTACGCTCACTTGCCTTCAGGTTAGCTCGTTCGCTACGCTCACTCGCCTCCAGGTTGCAAATTAGCTGTTGTCATAAATGTAAAAGAAATAATAGTGCTAGTGCTGCACCCTGTTGGTAATCCTTGTAACTTTAATGCTATTGAACATCACAGAACAGAACCAACTTGTTTAATTGAAACAGCTGTTAAGATTCAATAATTTCATTTCTCATAAGGTTAACATGGGCTTCCAGAAATTCCACGTCAAAAATCGACAAAAACTTGATTTTCAAGGGTTTACTGTTAAATATCTAACTGTCTCATATTCGATGAAATACGTCTAAAACCATCTCATATATGTATAGTATTTGGAAAATAAGTTTCAGGCGGGACAGTGCTATAGTTATTGAGGAGTAGTTGTAATAAAGTGCGTATTTTAGCGTTACCAAGAGAATGACAGATAGACAGACAGACAGACAGACAGACAGACAGACAGAAATTGAGATAAGGTTTGATTCGGTTTCTCTGACCTATGAAATGTAAAAATAACCAAAAAGTTCATTATTCTAAGCAATGTACAGACAAAACTCTAATTTTATTTATATAGATGATAAAACTAAACAAAGTAAACGAATTCTTCTTTTCTTCAAAGAATCACTACGTCTATACATTACGTTACTACGTCACTACGTTACTTACGTTTATAATTTTCTTATTTTATTAACACACTCATTAATATCATTAAAAATTCCAGACATTTTCCAATGAGTGAATAACATTATTATCAGGAAGTTGTTTCTGTTATTTTATAAATGATTTCTTCTGACAACACTAAAAACCATACTTTTCCTATATCAAAGACAATGAAATAGTTTAACAGTCCTGTTACTTGCTTGAGCAATCGACTACAAAATTAAAGTAATGTAAAATTATGATGCACACTAACAGCCGATGGATTCCAGATGGCCCTATAAAAATGGAGGGAGTTCGTTTTTAAATTAAAAGACTAAGTAATTGAACCCACATTAGTGTACTGTAGTAAAAAAATTGTGTTTCTGATACAAATATTCGCTGATGGTTGTTCTCTTGAATATACTACAATATCGTCTCTTTCCACTC